AAGCACACCAGGTTAGATCACTCCTCATACACGTATTTATTTGAAGAAATACATATGCTATATTTGATTTAATAAATTTACCACACATTTAGGACACATTTTCATACTATATAAATATTTTGAACAGACGATGTCAGTGTGTCTCACTCACAACAAGAAGCAAACAACGTGGACGAGAATGTACGATTGCATGTACCATACTATCTGGATGAGCATGACTATGCACAGAGAGAAGATGAAGTAGACACTGAATTTATCCTTGTTGATGATGATAGTAGTAAAAGTGATAAACAGATAGAATGGTTCACAGGAAGACGTGTAATAGAATTAGGATATGTTGTGAACAAACTCATTGAGGGCTGTAACTTTTGTAGACATCCCTTGAAATTAACTGATATTTGTGGTGAAGTGAGATATGGCCTTGGTTCATTACTGCGAATAAATTGTAAAAAGTGCAACAAAGTGACTTCTGTTCCAAGTGGAAAGAGACACTCACAAATGGATGACCATGCTAGCAGAGCATTTGATGTAAACACAAAGCTTGCTTTAGGTGTGTATGAGATCTCTATCAAAGGTATAATTTTCACCATATAATCTGATAAAAGGATAAAAGCAAAAATGTAATTTACTGTCAAATTACTTACAGAAGTATTTGTATTTTGTAGGAATGCTACATGCAGGCATAGGGGAGAAAAAGGTATCTTTGCTCTTGAGTGTGTTGAATATTCCTCCTCTTTCTCACACAACTTTAAAATGTAAAGAGAGAGAAGCTGGTAAAGCCGTAGAAGACTTTGCAAGGCAAAGTTGTGATTCTGTGGTTACTGCAGAGAGAGAATCTTCTAGGTACACAGCATAAATTAAACCATGATTGCAAAAAGCAATGTATTTTAAAATTAGTATAAAAGCAATGCAAATTTATTTCATAATTTATGATATGTCTAATCCAAGGCATAAAATGAAATTGCAGATAATACTTCAACAACTATATACACTGAATACTGTGCATATACATAAACGGACATACCATATCCAATAGTATTACACATAAAAATATAAAGTAAATTATCATTGAAAATGAGATGTTCAATTGCATTTTTAATGTAATTTTAGGCTGTTGACTCTAGCCAAAGTCAATCTAATAATAAGATTTATCCTGATGATATGTATTTTGTATTGTAGTAATAATGATGAGTTGATGGTGCATTTGATGGTGGATGGCAAAAAAGGGGATCAGGGCGTTCTTTTTCAAGTTTATCTGGTAAGTCCTATTGAAAGATATGAGATAATGTATTCAAATAATACAAAGTCTATTTTCACATGTTTGACAAAGGAAATACATATAATTTATATTATTATACCTCTGTTTGTTTTTTCTATATAAAAATAAGACGAATAAACATGCTATTTTTTCTAAACAGTCTCTACCGTGAAATAGTTTTTTTTGCTATTTGCCCATGGTGAATAGTCCTCAAACTATTCAACAGCAGCATTCCATTTCCCTCCCTTTTCATCTCTGAAAATTTCTGATTTTACATGGATTGTGACGTATATATTATGACATAACAAAAGTAAAGTCAGCATCGGTGTAATAAAACAACTATTTACTGACTACGAGCAATAGCAAGTTATGTCCCCCTCGACAGCAACTATTTCCCTCGGCTGCAACTCGGGACATAGTTTGCTGTCTTGGGGGACGATAAACTTCTATTGTCCTCATAGCCAGTAAAAAGATGTATAATATTACAGTGAAATTCATATGTAAGTTTATACTTCTAGGTCATGCAGCAATGATAGGTAGAGAAACCGGCAAAATAGTAAATTTTGCAACACGCAATGGATACTGCAGAAATGTCATCATGCAGATAAAACAGGGAAGGCTCCATCAACTCACGACTGCCGTAAAAACTGGACGGGGAGTTCCAAAGCTATGGAGCCAGACATGTGCATTGAAATGCTAAAAGATCTAGGCGAAAAGGAGGCTCGTGTTGGAACCATAATCATGGACAATGATACTACCACCATAGCAAGAGCAAGAACTGAGGTAAACCCAGCTTTGAAGAAACAAAGTGACAAAAATCACACACTGAAACAGTTTACGAACAAATTGTATGACTTGAAAAAGTGTAAAAACTATAAGGAACTAAATCCTAAGACAATAAGTCACTTATCAAAGTGCTTCAAATATTGTGTCAGCCAAAATCAACATGACGTACATGGTATGAGGAAAAACTTGGAGGCCATATCCAAACATGTATTTGGTGATCACAGCGTGTGTGGATCTTGGTGTGGGTATCTTTCATCACCGACAACGTACAAACCCCTTCAGTTGCCATACCACCGCTATCTAGCAGACGAAGGATTGAAAGTTGATCTGACATCCATAGTTGACTTTTACATTTCACAGGCTGATAGATTGGTGGATTTAGGAAGTACCCAGCCCAATGAAAGTTTCAATAATACAGTGGCAAGCAAGACACCTAAATCAACATTCTACTCTGGGCTCAGAGAGCAACGACTTTAGAGTAGCTGCAGCGGTTGCACAAAAAAATTTGGGTCATCAATATATATTACAGGTAAATTGGAAAATAATGTTTATTCTAGAAGGATCATTACTTTTTCATATAAATTCATTGAAATCACTGAAATTATGAATTTTCTTTTCAAATACACTTTCTACATCAAGTTGTGATTATAACCACATCATTGTTTTGTGAAATACTATATTTAGCGATGTTACTTGAAATATTTAGCTTGAAATATGATTACATGTATTAGAAATAGATTGTGAAGCTTTTTTATTTCAGGTAAATGAAAAATTGTTTCTTTCACCTGGGAAAGTGACCAGCAAAATTGCCATGAAAACAGACTTGAAAAGAAAAAAAGACAAAGACAAAGAAGACACAGAAGAGTACAAGAAAAGAAGAGCCTTGAAAAAAGCTGAGAGCAAGAAAAGTCAAGAATCAGCAGCAGTGAAAGAGGGGATCACATATGAAACTGATGCCGACATCAATAATAATGTAGACAACAGCATTACAGAAATACCCCCTCCTCTCACCAAACCCATCCCAACACCCATAGCAGCTGGGCAGCATACATTTGTATACTTTGACTTAGAAACAACAGGTCTTGGTAAATATCATCATACATGCATTTCCATGTAAAAATTGTGCCTGAATCATGATGTGAAGAATTGATGATAAAAATGCATTTGACTTCTAATAATTATTTCATGTTGTCTTTTTCAGATAAAGATTGTGAAGTAACACAGATTGGAGCTTGTACTGATGATAAAACCTTTTCCCAATATGTCACTCCTCCAACAAAACCAATCTCTGCTTCCGCTACAGCCGTGACTGGACTAGCCATCAGAGACAACATCATGTACAAGAATGGACACCAAGTTCACAGTAAGACAACCGAGGAAGCTTTTCAGTCATTTATTGATTGGATGAAGCAATTTACAAACATTATATTGGTTGCTCACAATGCAGTGTTTGATTCCAGAGTCATTGTGCGTTTATTTCATTCCGCTGGACTGTGTGCCAGTGACTTCTTTATTGGATTGATCGACACGCTGTCATTATGTAGGGAATTCATCCCAGGTAGAAAATCCTACAAGCTGACAGATCTTGCTAAAGTCATGTAGTAGGCATTATGATGCCCAAGATGCGTTGTCTGATGCTCAGACCTTACAAAAACTGATGTTATGTGTAAAAGCTTCATCTGATATGATGCTCAAACATAGTTTTACCACTCAGTTTGTTTTTGAAAACAACTCTTTTGCAGATTTGACCAGCAGAAATTTATGTTCTTTACAACATCTTGTAGACAGCAATGTATTGTCAAAATTCACTGCAAACAAAGTTGCATCATCTGGCCTGCATTTTCAGCATCTTTGTCTTGCCCATCAGAGAGATGCAGTAAATGGAATAAAGTATGTATTGTCTGACAAACATGCAACAGGTAAAGTGAGAGTTACTACAAATTCTAGAATTATTTCTTCTCTTCAACAGTATTTTATGAATTTGAAATGAATTCTTGAATACAACACAATGTACATGTATTGTAAATCAGTCATATTTTCTTATGGTATGTGCATTTATTTATATTTGAATGTTATGACATTTGATTCCCTTATTATATTGAACAGGGATGTGAATAAAAATTGTTTTTGACAACAGCCTAACTTGTCTTTTTCATAAAGAGAGATAACTCAAGGACAGGTTGAAACTCATGAAAAATGATAATTATTTTTCAAATTTCAATAGCCTTATAATATACCAAATTCAATGAATATTATTTATTCTTATTTTGAAAATGCTTACAATTTAGAATAAATATATATATGTGTGTACCAAAAATTGTAATTTCAGCAATTCAAGTGATTTTCAATAGGATTATATAGGAAATTCCATCTTCTGGTATCTTGCACAAATGCCTGGTAATGTACCCTAATTTTTTGCTAGCAAGCTTGTCAAAGTAGCAGTAAATCAAAAACAAATTCCTGGAAAAAGTTATATAAAATTGAGGAACGTGTCGTCTGACCTTAATTCCTTATCTTCTCATCCCATACCTTTGTTGAAATTTTTCTGAGAAAATATTTTCCCACCTACCTATTATTTTGATCCTGAGTTAGGAGGAGGCAAACAAACATTATCTTAAAGATGGTCTGAATTACAGTCATTTTAAGCTCTTTGTAATCTTAATTATAAAATGCTCAGTGATCACCCACCTGGTCAATTTCCATAGAGAAGTAATCGGACAACATCTCTGCTTTTGAGGTTAAGAAATCCACGATGTACTGAGCAAGGTCATGCTTTGGACCATCCGCCTCCGTCCAGCCGCTCTCTTCTAGGTCAAGGGCAAGCATAGCAAGGTCGATCATGGAGCCGGCTCCTGGGGGGAAAAAGGGAAAAAAATTTTAAGGAAATTTTCAAAATCATTTCTTTTTCACCACAATTTAATTTCCTTAACTGTATGAATCTATGAGATTCTATCAA